ATTGACTCTCGGGTACCAATTACTTATTTATTAACCATTCACGTTGCTGTTCAGCACGTTATGTTGTGACGAAGAAACCTTTAACTGTACAGTACAATTTGAACTGTTCGGGGTATTTTATACTTTTGGTATAATTAGCTTTATTTCCTAAATTAGAACAAAGTTTGTGTTTTGATATGATTTGATGAGAGTCAATCCAAAATTATTCGTACACTCCACAGAATAACTAGGTTTGACCTGACTAAATAAACTTTGCTTCATTAGCTCTGAGTATAGACTAAATACTGGAACTGTGGTCGTTATAAACACTTTCATTAAGCCATCCACTGTACGTTAACAGTGTGTAGCTTGTGCTTGTGCTAGACATGCAAAATAAGATTAACCTTGAAGGAGGTTGAAATCATAGCATTCCTTGGTCATTAAGTTGCACCGAACGCTACTACCACCACCTTTTTGAGATTTGATAAGCAATAACTACTTACTGTTCAGACGGCTTTGAAAAGCACGTTGAAGGTTCCAGAGAATCTAGAGGAGTCGAAGAGATTCTATCCATTCAGAACCTGATAAAGCCTTCTAGGATATCAACATTGTATGCTACAATTAGACAATAGCATAACTTGCCTCCTTGCGGATTGGCTGAATTGTAACGATGTTATAGTCAACAGTAATAACTACAAACACACATGTTGTTCTGTACATTTTTGATTCCTACTCAATTATCACCTTCCCTGCTCCTTCCATTTTCTGATTTACAATTTTGGGTTTTTTCACTGTTGAGTGCCGTTAGTTTTGTATAGTATTCGGCCGTAAATGAGTGGAGAACGTAATACCAACTGTGATCAGCTAGCTCATTACGATATTCTGGCACTTAATTAAGTAGAGAAAGCAAGGGTTTTCCTGGTAAACCATTTCTAGTAGCGAAACTAACTCGATCAACAAAATACATAAGTGCCTATTGACTTATATGTGCTTGGACTTTTACCGTCGGTTGTTGATCACAGTATGATTAAATGGTGATGATGCTGGCAAAATATCTGGTCTATTTAGTCTTACATATTTAACAATGAACGACATTTGTACAGCGCAGAAACAGTAAGTCGGATCGGAGCGTGTGTATTTTTAACACTCATGAAAGTCGGAAAACTAAACTAAAGTGAATAGATGCAGAGAGAATAGGCTCCTAAAATCTACCTCGTGGCCAGTGGGTGACCTGGCTCTCAGGTGAGGTGAATAAAGTATGAATTATAGTTAGGCAATCAGAAGAGACATGACGGACACAAAAGGTGAGCACGAGCAAAATATAATAAAAGTTAACAGTGGTTGGTCAACGCATGTGACTAGTGGACTTTATAGAAAAGAAGATTCGTGGATATGGACACTACAGAATGAAAGATACTGTCATGAATGTGCGTCAGGGGACTATAGATGTTAACATTAGAAAAACAAACCTGGATTTGTTCGGAAAGATAAAACAACAAAGGCGAAGAGTGTGTAGTGGCATTGGACAATAACCACACAATCTTCAAAGCTCAATAAGTGATTGCTCGGAAAATAGATATTCAGTATTTAACGCGGAGAAATACCTAACGATGGAGAGGGTGCGAACAATGAATTGAATGGACTGGAGTTGATCAGATGGCATGGCTCGGCCATGCAGGCGTGGTCCATCTGAATGTTACCTTATGTCTTTTATTCATATTAAATATATTGTTCCTTCTCTAGCCTAACCTTGTTCTACACCATGTATTGGTAATTGATACGATACAGTGAGTTGGTGTAGTCGATGGTGTGACTTCCACGTAAGATCTTATAGATTAGGCAGTTATATCATGCCAAATCTACAATTTCAGGATTAGGTCTACTATTACAGCAGTACTAATATCATAGTAGACCATAACCCTACAAGTTTGTGATCTTTATGTCATTCAAGGCGAACATACCAACAATGTCATTTTGATACTCATATGCTTAGAATACTGCCGAGATGACGGAATCATACTGACGTTGTTTTAGTAATAACAGCACCGAGTATTCGGTTGAAGAAATATACTGACCCCCATCAAGTAACAACATATGGAAAGGTAAGATAATCGGAGTACTATCAAAATGACCACACACGGGGTTAGATCAGATACCCCAACTCTGAGACTTTGACATCCCATCCATCAATCTCAACAAGTAAAGTACGACCTCTACGTATTGGCCTCATGGGACAGTTGCTGCATTTATTAAAAGTTCGGGACTGACTGAACACTTGGGCAATAGTATGGGGTATGAAAATGACAGAAACCCCTCGAAATTAGACTATTTACTATGGAATGATCAGTTTGTAGTCGAGGATGTCCATGTCCAAGCACGAATAGGGAGTAGTAATCGCGAAGCAGCTATATACGATGTGGTTATATACGAGATGCCCTAAATTAGTGAGAGTGATCCCCATTTTTGCCACAAAAGGGCGGACTACATGGTCATAAGAGAGCATTTTCGAAAACCCCATGAGCGTTCTCTGGAAGACAGAGAGTGATATCATTCGGAGAGCTGTCTCGTACAACGAGTCCTAAGCAAAAAGATACCTAGAGAGGGAGAGTTCAGGCTTAAGTGATACACAGAACCTTTGCTACTGACAAAATGGAAAGTCAAGTACAATCGGAAAGTTTCTCCAAAGGAATTTGACCGTTACGCACAATTGGTCTTGAGAAATAGACGCACTGAAAGGATTAAAAACGACAGAGAGTGCTTTCTAAGATGAGAAATAATCCGAAATATCTATGATTAATAACCAGACGGAGCTTCTGTCCTCTCCAATCTCCTAATGGCGAAGATCTTACCAACCAAGAGATGGCATAAATCTTCGCCGACCAGTGGAATCTAGGATCAACACGTGTGAAACAGCCTTCGGCTCCAGTGTCGGATGATGGCCTGTGAAATATTCATGTAACTCCAGGATTAGTACAAAGAGGACTAAAATCCCTGTGCTCAGGTAAGTCCCTTTGAAGTGGCAACACCAAAACTATAATCCTGAAATAGTTCACGCAATTCAGTACATAGATATATGACCTGTTCAAGTTTTCACTAGAGTTACAGCAACTTCCAAAAGAATGGGAACTGACTACTATCGCTGATCTTCATTATGGGAGATAAGAAAGATCTAGCCTGCTACAGATCAAAAGGATTACTTTCAGTACTATCAAAGTGATGGAAGGACTGGTGAATGACCGAATGAAGGGATAAATTGGAAAAAAACCAGCGTCCTCCATAAAGCTGAGTAGCAGTTTAGATGAAACAGATCCCGTACATTCAACCTCCTTGCAGCATGGAACAGCTGGACGAATTGCTGAGATCAAAAGTCATAGGTTCATAGGACATTTATTGATTCCTCAGAAGCATTTGGCACAGTAATGCACTTAGTCTCCATTTTCCTGCTCCATGGTGGCTCTGAAGTTATCTGAAGCACTGACTACTTCACACCAATGAATACAGGTTGATCTAGAGCTAGAAAGTTTCGACGTAGGGAACCTCACAAAGAACATTTTAGGTCTACCTCTTTTTATTTTGATCAATAATTTCTTAGACAAAACCAACTAACCGACTGCCACATACGTTGGTGATGTCAAGATGTGGAGATCTACAAGAAAGGAAAAAGATCCATTTGAGTTCCAGAAAGATCTCTCAACAATGAGTGAATGGACAGTGGGAACCTGTTTAAATTTAGTCTGTCAAAATATCGTACTATAAACATTCAGCCCGATGGGACACAAACAACCTACATTGTCAATGAAAATCCGCTCCCAACTGTGCCCTCAAAGAGTGATCTAGGGCAGTTAACTACAGGGACGTTGGACACTAGCTCAAATTGCACTGTAGGTGCGGCCAAAGGAATTGCAGCCCTTCACCTTAAGAAAAGATTATTTGACGCAATCAGCCTAGAACTGGTTTTGGCCCTTTTTAAAGCATATTCAAGTATCAACTTTAAGGTTCACAAAGTTACTGAACCTCACCTCTAAAAAAGACACAAATCTGTTGAACGAAGTATAGAGACAGGAAACTAAGTTGGTAGACACCTAAACTTCAGATTGTGTTCACTGAGCTAAAGAGGAATAAGAGGTGATCTGGTGGTGGTACACATAACACTAAGTATGACAAGTCACCTCAACACAAATATCCTATCAGAACACCATTAACACACTCTACGAGATGATCTCCAGAAAATTGCACGTCAAAAAGAAAATAATCCTGTACTCTTCCGATTTTCTTCATTAAGAGTTGCTTCTGTTTGGAAGGTTCTTCCAGGTGAAGTGACCATAGTCTATTCAGTGGACGGCTTCAAGAGGAGATATGACAAACACATACTCACGTCTGGACCAACTGCCTCGCAACCTATCTTCCGTTAACATCTTCATATATGACTAACTTATTCCTGTCCTCTTATTATGATATCCGTTTACCTTTTATTCTTATCTATCGGTCTACTCATACTATCTACATCACTAATTATTTGGCTTATTTACTTCTTGAAGCAATCGTCTATATTAGCATTCAACTTTTCCTTCCATTATTTTCCACATTACAATCAACCGACCAGAGTCTGATGATCTGATATTTGTGAGTTCCGGAAACCCTAATGCTCTAAGACAAACTCGCTAAAATTATGAGCTAAACAAACTAACAAATAGCTAACAAACTGACTCGAACGAGTGTGGTCGTTCCATTAGACTACCTCTCACTGGAGATTAACAAGGAAATGAAACCGTAACAAAAAAGAAAAGTGAGAGCAAAGAAGTTATTTGATTCAAGTAAGCTCATAATAGAGATACTAGATATTGAAATCAGTCGAATTTCCTGGAGATTACGCTGACAGCGTAAAATACTGAAAAGTAAACCGTCATAATACTTCGTCCGTTATCTTACTGCAGGTTAGGGGTGATCTAATATTGGCTTATCGTATACTGAACGATGACCTTGGTATTATTATGTCCTATCTTTTCCTTCCCTCTAGAACTGATCATTTGAGAGGGCACTCTAGGAAAGTTCAAAAACCGAGTTCAAATCGTCTACGTTTGCATTTCGTTTCTCGTACCGAGTAGTGAACTACTGGAATTCTCTACCGGAACACGTAATATTATCACCTTCTGTTGACATATTATAAATGAGACTGGACCTCCACAGTGCTACAAAATGCAAGGATTAATATAGGTTGATAGACTTCCTATCCTTAATACTGAGGACTGAAAGTTGCGGCTATTGTAAAATGAAGGTCAAATTGAAAAAGAAAAGTGCGAAAAATGAGGTTGTTCAGTCTTGCGATTAATACTTACTGCCAATTTAGGAAGAAAACGAGGAAATTTATGTCAGATTAGGAGATGTACCTCTGGACATATTACGGTACAATATATCAATGCAATCAGGAGTGGAACGAAAGGAAACTCGCAAATCCCTACTTCTCAAAATGGGCGCTAAGAAACCGAAAAACCCATACATTAATTACAAAGAACTCATGCAGAATAAGGCGAAGTCTAAGGCCGAGGCTGAAGCGTTTGCTTTCGATGTAAGTCTTACTAATTCGTTACTGAGTATGCGGTAATTGTAATAGCGCAGTGCTAGTTTTGTCAACAAAAAGCTCCCTTTAAAGCAGGCAAAAAAGAAACGGAAAAACCAACAAAAAGACAGAACAAGAAAAAAGTTAGTTTGCGATGTATTATATGTTTATAATTTAGAGTATCCAAGCCACGGAAGCATCGCTAACACCTGGTATTATGTAAACGTATTTCAATCATCAGATTTGTATATAGTCTTATCGAAAATTTGCTCTTTGGAAGGCCTAAATAAATGCTTCTCTGTAGTGCTTAGAGTTTTTGAGTCATTCAGTTTGGGATTCCAAGTTTCATAATAAACCTTTCTGCACCTTCGTGACATGACTGTTTCTAATGTTAGGTTTTATTTGGATTTTTGCTGGCTAAAACCTCCTATAGACTTACGGTGGTCACAGGGTATTGGCACAACCCGTAAATAGAAGTATAGGCTTTTAGTCCTGGAATACCTCCATTACTGGTATATGCATCTTATGACTTGCTTTTTTTACATGGACTTGACTAGTTTCTCCATTAGCGCCAGAGCTCACTTTCGCCAAGTTTTATCTTCATAGTTACGTCGCATTGTGTCTGGAAGCTGCTATTGCTTGAACCGTTTTTAAAAAACGAAGCACTACAGTTGCTCTTAATAGTTTTATCAAGCGTTTTTGCGTTCGGGTGTATATCATATAAATAACCTATTTGTCCTACTTTGAATCGCTAGTCTTCCTGAAATTTTTTTAGTGTTCATGGGTCCACGACGGTAAAACTGGTCAGTTTTTAGAAAATCTAATCTGTACCTGTGTGAGGTGGTTAATTAGATTTAATGTACTGATATCACACGCTTGAAAAGGCGTACTATGTCATCTGTTTATTTTTGCCGTAAAGCCTACTGACGTAATAAACCAAGTTAATGCAGTATAGATTTACGGGTTGAGTACAGATCATAAGAAACAAGCCGGTATGTATTTCCCATAAATGATGGTTAACTTGCTATTGTGCTTACAAGAACATCTTAGTGATTTTCGCGAGATACCTTGTCTGTTGAGACATTCCAGTATCTGTATTGTAGCTTACACCTAAATGTTTTTTTCTTCAGTCTAGTATTGTAAAAGCGGTTCTATTCATTTTTATAAAATCCGTGCCTTAAATTTATGTTGTAGCTACCATGATTCACTTATCTTGCATTAATTAGGACGTATATTTTTTAATTTGTGCGCTTTGTTGCCGAAATTCTGCATCAGTTTTCTTGTATATTACATTTTCACCATATGGGTGAGAACAAAATCACATGGAAGTTCTAAGGTAGTAAATAAATAAATATAACACATGGGCTGGATTCTTCAAATCCTTTTTTACTTTCCAGAACTGGTGATTATGATTTTCTATGGCAAATGCTTTGGACCACTGTCCGTTAAGTTTGACTACGCACTTATAATTTTCAACTAATAAACTCGAAGCTTCTTACAACACGAACAAGATCGGAAAATCGGAGGATTTGCATGTAGAAAGTAAAAAAGTTAATCAGTATGGTAATTTTCCTTAAGATACTAGTCGTGAGACGAAATTTCATCTCCCACTGACTGGCTACTAGGTTTTTTAATGCAAAGGTAATTGTTGACGGTATTAATAGTTCTCAAAAGAGTTAGGCCATAACTAGGACTTTTGAAATCTTGTTCGCCAGTTCCAGAAAATCAGTCTTATTTGTTGAGATCTTATTATCTTCTGTTGCCCTGATGCTAATTCTAAGCACCACTTAAAAATTTATATTCTCACACGCTTAATAGATTTACCCCATTTATTTATCAAAATTAGCATTAGGGGATTTAATTTTATTTCTAACTAGCCCATCAACAAACAAACGAACTCGGCTTGTAGTAAAAAAGTTATTATTTTTTCCATAAACTTTTTATCTTCCTGTCGATGTGTATTTTGTGATATCATGGTTAATGATGAAACTGCCGGGTTCTGAGTCTGATAATTGATGCCTTTCAGCTCGTGTATTGGCAGTTGAGGCGAGTGACCATATCACTATTCCATAGCTAGTAATGAATTCACTAAAAAAACAACTCAATCGAGTTGTGTGAAGAGTGTGTAATCTGGCTAAATGAGGTTTTCAGGAACCTAGTAATTTTAATGATGAAGCGTTAAATAGTCTTTAAGTAGGCGAACATTTTACATTGATATGGTAATACTACTGCAATCTAAACAAACTCATCATCTTTGTATAACCAGAATGTATTCGGATGCTCGATGTTTTACATGAAGTTATTTGCAACAGATCTAAATCCTAGTTCGTTACAAGGATGGTTTGTAATTAAATGTGAATGAGAATGTCTTGAAGTGTAGTGACTCGTGTTTGGTAATCGAATATTTAAAAAAAACAAGATTTGATCAAACGATTTTGTGTTTTAATGAATTTTCAAAACAAATTCCAAATAATGACTAGGCAAATATTAGAAAAAAGCTCTGAACAAATAGGTATCGTACAACGATTTTTCAGTAATCGTAATTTCACATTTGTACACGTTCGTATAGCGAATATGAGCTGAACTCAGTTCGTGTTCCACAAGAAGAAGGGGAATTGGAGAATTAAGGGCGAAAACACAGGACATAGGAGGGGGGGCCAACTGGATATTGTGTAGTTATTCTTCCCGTATAGGGGTAACATTTTTTACTTGCATATTGATAATCAGACTAGAATAATTTATGATTTACTAGAAGTGAAAGTATGAATATAAGAGAATTTATTAAGACAGGATTGGATCAGCTGATTAAGGTATATTAAAAAGTGATGTGATTTAGTATGGTTTACAATTTACTAAATGTATTCACACTGATGTAAGCAATGTGTGCATAAACGTGTGTCGTAATAGTGAAATATACTTTTCGTAGATTAACAGTAATAACAGCAGTAATAATTATATTTGCACTATTACTTCCTCTTTGAGTTTATATTTGTCAAAAACGATATCAATTTAGCTTTAAAAGGTGAAAAGATGTTAGTAAAATTAATGGTAATAGTACTGATGGGATAAAAAAGGGTTTTAGTGCACATTATAGTGATTGTTTCATAATGATTAAATTAGTTAAAAGACATAGTGGGGATACTTAACAATTAATTTCACATATTGTATTCGGGCCAATTTATTATAGGAAATTGATTTGTTTTTTTCAAATAATGATAATTTATAGGCTCAAAATATTACAGATACTACTACTCTTAGTTGTCACCTTTTGATTTATCTTCTCTTGGACGTATTGTAGAATCACTTGTACTCCGGTTTATTGTAGCTGTGCTATCTCTTGACTCATGCCATGTAGAACGACTAGCAGCAATCGGTGTTCTAGGTAGGGAAGATTGCTCCAACGGACTAATATCTGTATTTGTTGTGATATTTTCTTCAGGACGTTGTCTATTTCTTTCATCACTATGATATTGGGTTGAGGGGTTTGTTTTATCTATTTTTGTCGTTGATTGATATGGTCTTGATTCAATAAATGATCTTCTTGGTTTTATTAATAAATTTGATCCCGTTGATCGGTTCAGTCTAGCAGGTATTGAGCCTGTTAGTTGGTAGTAGTATGGGTCATATCTAGATGGTGCAGTAGTTGGCTTGTACAGTCCCACCATAAATGAATCCTATGAATTATACAAGTATAATTTAGTATTGAATGTGATCACGTGTGAAATGAATTTATACTTTACAGTTTCATTTTCTCCTCAGTACCATTATTTAATTTAAACATGTAATTATCGAAATCTTAGTTTTGGTAGAGTTCTTGTACGTGAATTTGAACTTGAGGCTTTTTAACAATGCTTTTCTCTGGTGATTGTACATCTACATTGGTCTTAGTTTCGTCCAGTAAGAGACGGATAAGTTCTTGCCCTCGGATTCCCTTCGCTTCTTTAAACTGGAACGTCTTTTTTATTATTCATTTAACTAAATGTTATTCTCCACAAGTTTGTGGAACTTAAAATTTTGAATGATATCGACTATACAGTAGCCTGGGAATTACGTTTTTCTGAGTGATATTATTTGTTAGAATGATTGTTTAACAACAGTTACATTCCTTTTTATCTAATTATGTTAACTTGGAAGTTATAAGCTATTTACAGCTGACTGAAATCCTTAACTGTATGGATGACCTTATCAATTTAAAAACGTCTTAAAGTATATCTAGATCATTTTAATTGATTCCTAGTCTCATTAATTGTTCATTCATATGCATGATTAATATAATATAGATTTTTCTGTTTTCCTCTTACCTGTTGACGATTATTATCTATTGAAGATTTCATTTCAGTATAATCATATCCTGTTGTAGTTACTGAACTTCCATAACTTGTTAAACTTGGCTGACTTTGGTTAACAGAAGATGGATTCTTTAAGTAAAGTAATTGACGTTTATTTGTTTCATGAGTTAGTTGATCTTTGAGTTGTTGAATCTGTTATGAACACAAAGAAAGATAGGTAGAAAGTGAATTTAATAATCTATCTCTTTATAGTACTTAGTAATATGAAGTTTTAATGATAAAACAAATGTATCAAGGGGTCGGCTAGGGTAATACTACCATTGTATCTTGAATTTTCGTTGTAACGGTTTTTAGTTTATATATATATATATATATATATATATATATATATATATATATATATATATATATATATACGCCCACACTACATTACCATATTTTCTCATATAATGTATTTCAGTAAAACAATCAACGATATCTTTAGTTGAAATTATTTAAAATACATAATGAAGCTGGTTGTAAGCCAATAACTTTTCAGTTTGTATATCCAATATTGGGTTAGCACATTTACAGTGTAATACTGGGAAAGTTATTATTACCTTAAAATATTTTAGTAATCACCATAAATCAATAGTTTTACGATCTTAAAAGATTAGATATTTATTTCTTAATATTGTTGATTATCCAAACGGATTTGAATTTTTGAATGGTTCTTGCGTAGTATGTTTGTTTCAGTGATAAAAATCAAGGTCAATCCCTTATGGCTTGTGTACCTGACAAAAAAGTACTAATCTTCCTACGAGTATACATACAAATATCAATTAAGTTGTAACAGAAGCAAAACAACACATCGA